GTAACAGAGATCAAAATGTAGTCCTTTGTGAAATTCACAAAGAGCAAAATGCTTTAAAATGATAGAATCTTCCCATTCAGAATGTGATTTTTCACTCCCTCATCTCCATGTTTGAAAGCCTATGGTCTCAATTTGTAACATATCTCTGAACTACAGAAATGAGATATAGCTACATGTTTGAGTTTGTATTGGAGGGGAAGATAGTGTTCCTGCATGTGTTTTTTAAAATACCCGCAAGTAAATAACTGGTTTTTTACTTGATGAAAGGTTATTTAGTTCTTGCAGGTTTGCTAGAAGGAAGAAGTATTGAAATCTAGATTACTTCTCTGGGGCTTAGCAATAATAGTAACTGCTTTAACAGTGAACAATTTTAGAACGATGTCAACTTTTAGTAGACAAAGCTGCATGATGCAGATGGTGACCTCAGTTACAAGAGGATCAAAGACAACCTGTCAGAAAATCCAAGGAGGAACAGAAAGGGGGAAAGCCAGAAAAAATCAGGAGCACCGTCTTCCAAAAGGAAGCAATGAAAGAATTCCCAAATTGTTCATTCTTCCTCTAATGGTTTCTGTACCATATGAGTTTTGGATCAGTAGCAGCTGATGTGTTCAGTAATAGTTTCTTTTGAAGGGACTTGTCATAATATTTACCTTCTCTACAGCAACAGAAATAGCTTCCAAAGCTGAAATGGCCACACTTACTAAAACTAATGAAAACAAAAGAATGTTTCCATGGTGAATGAATCTCTTGACACTATTATTGTAGGGCATAAATAACATTCAATGTACTGTGCTTCATTTCAGCTGAGGTATTTGTGTCTTTAGGCATGGTGTTACCTAGAAAGTAAGAGTATACAGTGTGGTGCAGATCTCTGGAATGTGAGAAGTATGAAGATCTCCAGAGTATTGAAATGCAGAAATGAGCGTGCTACATTTATCAAGAACACATAACTAAAAAGAGCCATCTGTAAAGACAGCTCTCACAATAAAAGAGTATTTTGGGTGGGGACAGTTCCTTACCTGTTTTCCTCTTCCACCTTTACCATGACTCGGTGGCATCCTTAAATCACTGTTCTTGTTTGTAATCTCAGAACTGACACCAGAGTGTTCTCTGTGAATACTGATCTCCTTGGAAAGGAGACTAAAATTAAATTTTATTGATAAACTCAAGTAATCTGTTTCCATATGGAAATACTCAGCCAAATGTGTACAATGTGAGTGTTAAAGTGAGATTTTGTTCAAAGACAATGCAATAGACTAGCCTCTCTTGTGTCTTTCTGAGAAAGTAGCCCAATTCAATTTCCCATATGTTAACCAATGTGTAACTTTTTGCTCTGTATGAACATCTCCATTTTTGCCATTGATTTCATTGCATTTTTCAGTTGCATACCCAAAGAGATGGATGTATTGGAAAACTGAAATCAGATTAGGATATAGTTGATTAATCATGTTCTATACACACACACACAAAAGCATTATGTGCTCCTTAGTCAAAAGCTCCTAAAATATGGGGTTTATAGCCATAAGTACTGACTAGTCCCATAAGTCTTACATCTGACTCATAATGTGAACTGTCCTGTACATCTATTGAGTATAAGCCTTTTTGCTTAAAGTAGGAAGGACGAGAAGGTAAATAACAATTTACTTAGGGCTTTGTCCTGGTCTGTAATTATCTTTTGTTTGCATTTATATTTATGCAATGATGGATCATAAAATTTTACTGGAATCTACCAGAAATACCTGAAGTGAGTATATTGCAGTGGAGGGAACCTAAGAGGAAAAAAAGGAGTAATTACCTATTGACTTCAATAAACTTCGGACCAAATTGTCATTGAATAGTTGGGCAAACAACCATCTACTATAGTGGTAGGCAACATATATAAACACAGTCTGTCATTGTTTACTGGAGCAAAGAATTCCGAGACGTATCATTTCATAAGCTTAACCGTGAAAGCAGAAAAAAAATCCCAGCCTTTGCATAGCTTTGAGGAAAATATAGCCTTGTATAAGCACTGTGCATCCACCAAAGCATTTGGTCACCATGTCACAAAGTGTATTCTGTGAAAATGTTTGCACTATAATGAAGTGCTGCTCTGAATGCTACATTTTTCCCCATTTAAACACTTTTAAGGGTTAAAAGCACAGCACTTATTTTACGTGAAATGAACCTGGGCTTTTAAATCTCAGCTGTGGCATGCAGCCTCCCTGTTGGTGAGCACCTGATGTCAGCAGTTTGAATGATGTCTGACACTAATTATGTGTTGTTCATAAGATTGCCAGTCTGGGGGAATAAAAAGCTATTTAAAAGGTTTTCATATGAGGTCTTATTCTCAATTTTTTGAAAGCCCTTACATCTCTTGCAGAGCAGCACCCTGCTAATGCTGTTGGGGAAGGGAAATGCTTTTTAAAATACTATTAATTAATGCTTGAAATGCATCATTCTTATTTGAAAGCCATATACACAACAGCTTTTACATCTGTTCGTGTGATAAATGCAAAGCTGGGGAAAGATACCATTGTCCTTGTCATACCACCTGCCTTGGTGCTGACACAGAAGAACCTACCTGGTCAGCATATCAGAGCATTCAAAATTAATTGTCAGATAGACATAAAACTTTGCTCAATAGTTAATTTGCCCTTTATCTGCTAATAAAACTTTTTAAAATGCTGCGTGACTATTGAACAACTCAAAGATTTGGTTTGGGGCCTCATGTATATGCTACTATGGATTTATTTTTTCCTCTATAGATTTAGGGATACCATTCTCTCCATTTGAATATATGCGTTCAGGTATGACAGCATTACCTAAAATTCAGAAATGGCTTGTATTTTCATTCAGATAACTTTCTCCAAAGTCTAGGATTTAAAACTATTATTTGTCATGCTCATGGTCAGCTTATGAATCTTACTAAAGTAAGCAAGTGAAGCATCTTGTCAAAGCAATCTCAGACAGTAACGTGCTCTTGTGAATGGGATCAGGCAATGTCCAGACAGTACATCTGCATCAGGCAGAGGTGACATTTTGGAGTTAAATCCAGTTGAAGGCCAGTCAGAAGTGGTGTTCCCCAGGGCTCAGTATTGGGGCCAGTTCTGTTTAACCGTTAATATCTTTATCAACGACATGGACGAGGGGATTGTGTGCACCCTCAGCAAGTTTGCAGTTGGCACTAAGCTGGGTGGTAGTCTTAATCTGCTTGAGGGTAGGAAGGCTTTACAGGGGGACCTGGACAGGCTGGATCAATGGGCTGTGGCCTTTTATATGGGGGTCAACAAGGCCAAGTGCCAGGTGCTGCACTTGGGTCCCAACAACCCCATGAAATGCTTCAGGCTTTGGGGAGTGTGGCTGGAGGGCTGCTTGGCAGAGAGGGGTCTGGGGGTACTGGTTGACAGCCGACTGAATATGAGCCAGCAATGTGCCCAGGTGGCCAAGAAGGCCAACGGCATCCTGGCTTGGATCAGAAATGGTGTGAACAGCAGGATCAGAGAAATCATCCTTCCCCTGTACTCTGGCTTTGGTGAGGCCGCACCTCAAATCCTGTGTTCAGTTTTGGGCCCCTCACTACAAGAAGGACATTGAGGTGCTGGAGCGTGTCCAGAGAAGGGTAACGAAGCTGGTGAGGGGTCTGGAGCACAAGTCTTCTGAGGAGTGGCTGAGGGAACTGGGGTTGTTTAGACTGGAGAAGAGGAGGCTGAGGGAAGACCTTATCGCCCTCTACAGCTGCCTGAAAGGAGGCTGTAGTGAGGTGGGGGTCGGTCTCTTCTCCTAGGTAACAGGCAATAGAACAAGGGGAAATGGCCTCAAGTTGCGCCACAGCAGGTTTAGGTTGGATAGTTGGAAGAATTTCTTCCCCAAAAGGGTTATCAGGCCCTGGAACAGCCTGTCCAGGGACGTGGTTGAGTCCCCATCCCTCGAGGTATTTAAAAGGCAGATGGACGAGGTGCTTAGGGACATGGTTTAGTGGTTAACTTGGCAGTGTTAGGTTGACAGTTGGACTTGATGATGTTAAGGGTCTTTTCCAACCTAGACAATTCTATGATTTTAATTTTTTTGGGTATTAAATTCCATTAGTAAGGCACATATTAAATAAAGAATGCTTCACTTGTTCTCAAAATAGCTGTGCTAAGTAGGTAAATTTTGTACATTTAATAGGGACTAGTAGGGCCACAAATACTGGGGATAACACAGTGTTACAGATGATCTGATTGACTTTGCTGAATTATTGCATTATAAAAAGGTGCACCATAATACAGCCAAATGCAAAGCAATGCAAGCAGGAATAAACACAGATAGCTTATATTTACAAGGTGAGATACTCTGCCTAGTAAAAAGTGACTTCTGAGTGGGAATTTAATATTACCACCTGTAATGAAAAACCCTCTGTAAAATGCTATGACTTAAACAAGGCTAACACAATTCTCGAATGAGTGAAAAAAGAGGGTTTGATTCAGAAAAGTCACTTTACATGAATGCCTGGCACTGATAAGACTACTACTGAAATATTGATCCTATATTTCATATCCCAGGTGAACGTTTAAGTAGGCAGAAGGGGACCACAGAAATCAATGGACAACCAAACCATATTGTGTAAAGAGTTATTAGAGTATGCATCTGTGTGGTCATGTGCAATCTGTCCTGGATTAATGGGGATTAGCTACAAGTTAGCCGGCAAAGAAAAAGCGAAGTCTGATCTGAACTGTACATCTATGAAATTGCTGGTTTTTCTACCTGTGTGGATGTAGTGGGGCAGGCCCAGTCCCGTACTGTTATGATGGCACATGCCCTTGGACCAGAAGTAGGATCCATTGTGCTTAATGGAGAAGAGGAATGAAAGGTAGAGGTGTTGATTATTTCAATACTTTTTCATGGAAAGCATGTTTGCTGGGGTAAAGCTTCTTGTCTTGTCAACCTTGTAAAATCAGAGAGGAATTTCTCCCCTCTGATAGGTAACTTAGTTTCTAGGTGCACTTTTGTTTCTCTTTTTGCATCATCAAAGGTTCACCATGGCTGAACAGGTTACTAAACCAAATGAACTGGTATTCTGCAACTGTATAGGAACGTATTTGAAGCATCTGGTTAGTACATCCTGGGTGAGTACGTAGGGTTGGGTTGTTTTCCTCAGTTTGGCAGACATTTGGACAGTTCTTCTTTCCATCAAGCATAGGTTACAACTAACTTTCTGAGATCATTTACATGTATATTATACAATCATTTCCCTGTATCACAGCCTTTTGGGGGCCTCTCAGTCTTTTCTGCTTCTTGCCTGAAGTATGTATTCTGTTTTATTGACAAACAAAATCTATTTTGTCACTGAAGTATCTAGGTTTTTTATTGAGACTTGTTATTGACACTGGCTAGCTCTTCATACACAGAAAGCCAGCTGTTGCAATTTAATGGTTATGGGAAAATTGACATTTAGCAAAGTCAAATTTAAAAAGGAAAAAAAAAACCTTTCCTTGTAACTTTAGAGAGACACCAGGAACACGTAATGAAATCTATTCATTTTAATATCCCATAAATATTTCCCCAGACATGGCAACAGGCTAGGGAAATGCTTATCCTTCACACTTAAAAAATAAAAGATTATCCTCCCCCAAATGCAGTGATACTGAAGAATATTTGAGGATCACTCTGCATGGCTGATTCAAATAAAAAAAAATGTATTAAAAGCCTAAATGTGAGAGGATCAGAACAGGACAGTAACATTATGTTATATATTGGTTGAAAAATTACTGTAAGATCTAATACTGCTCAGGTGTCAATATTTCTAAGAGTATTTAATTTTATTTGTTTTGATTTTAGAATCAATTTCAAAGTAGGTCTGAGAAAGCATTGTTTATAGTGAGAAATAATTTTTATATATATAAATTATTTGGGAGAAAGTTAAGTGACTTGATAACAGAAAATACGTAGAATGCAAAGTTATCTTTAACATTACTTACCACGATAATGTAGCAGAACAAGAAAATACATTGTTTGGATGCTGAAGTAAAACAAATTCATATAGGAAGTGACAATTTTTAATACCAGGTAACATTAGGGGATAGTCAGATTAAGAGGAAGCCAGATTGTCTGTCATTGACTTTTAAAATCAAGACTAGATACTTTCTGTGAATGGATCAACTCTCAGACAGATGTTGTTTTCCAGAGCAAGGTCTTCAGTCTTTGCTACACTGGTGATCAACTGAGATAGTCAGAGCAGTTCCTTTTACAGTGAAAATTTCATAAACACTTGGCCACTGAATATCTATTAATATTAAAGTATTCACACAGGTACTACCATGCTAATCCTACAGCGTAAGGGTCTAAACGTATTTCATAATGAAAGTTGCTGTCTAATTCCAGACAGGGCTCGCAAGTCCATGGTGCATCCAAAAGGGCTTTACAGGCTGCACAGATTATTTTATATAAATCTGTGTAACTATATTGTAATTTTATAGGACGACTGTCTGGTACACTGAACACCGTCTCTGCGTATACAAACATCAACAGCATGCTCACGAGAACATGAGTGTTTTAGTTATAGCACTGCTTTTGCTTTTTATTGACATGCTTTACCTTTCACTGCAAATATATTGTTTCTCACTTTTGACAGTTATACTTGTAGAAAGGTAAAGTAAACATGGATATGGATACTCCAGTGAATATGTTTTAAAAAGATCTCCTAAGTTTGGGAAGTACACAGAGGAGATTTTCCTTATGAGCTACTTAACGGGTTTCAGTGTGCATGCAACAGTAAAAATAAAAGCTATGATTTCTGTATTGCAGTATTTCTGTATTGCAGGAAAACATTACACAAATAATTCCACATAACAACTTTCAAAAAATCTGGTTTAATCAAGAGTATGTTTAGGAGTGTCAAACAGCTTCAGAATGCCAAATGCATACCACGTACTTAAGTGACTAATTGTAATAAAGGTGTCACATCCTCTTCTTCTACCATAATTAATAACTTAGAAATTAAGAGCTCCATTTCAAAATACAACTACCATCTACCTTGCTTTTTTCCCCCGTAAGGTAATCGTGTCTTTAGAATACTTTCATTGAAAAAGGAAAGGATGTCTGTTCTGTGTTGCTGAAAAGATTATCTTTTCATTCCTTTTGTCTTAAGCATCAGAGATTCCCAAGGCTTCAAAAAGCCTGGTTCTTAGAGTAAACATTAATTAAGTGTTGCATTAAGGTGGTCTTTCTAATTATACAGGCTTGTAGTTTCTGTGTTTTGCTAGAATGATCTTTCTGCAATACACAACTTGTGAATATGACACACAGTAATTTAGGGCTGTGGAGGGGAGAGAGAACTTCAGACTATCTTCTCCACTTACAAGTTATGATCAGTAATGTGGGAGTCTTCAGGAATCACAACTTTTAAATTTGTAAGATAACATTCCCCAGTACTGCGCAGTTAAACATTTTTGCCTGGTTAAATTCAATACTAATTTTAACAATCATATAAACAATTATTTACACATTCAATATTGTTTGCATGCTTGAAGATTCAACATTTAATAACTTCTGAAATAAACAAAACAAAGGGCCTGCTCTTAGAACTTTTTCCATTGGGCTGAGTTTTACCCTAAGAAGTTGAAGGTTGCTTGAGATACAATTGATCTCATACTTAGGTACAGTTCAGTTACTGTTGTTAGAGTGGACGGTTGTTCTTTTATGAATTCATAAGAAATAACAACTAGTCTACATAAGATGGGCTTATCAGTAGGCTTCTTTGTTATTTTAACATATCTGCTCTTGAATTACTTTGATTTTTGAAGGCCATTTGTTATATCACTCTTTTTGCGCTCATGTTTTTTATGCTTTCTCCACTTTTTACTTTTTCCTAAAAAAATGAGGTATTTTTATCCAGGCAATTTTAAGAGATATCTGTCTAAATTTTTTTTTTAATTTATCCTGGAATATTTTCCAATAATAGTTCCTAAAAGTAAAAATATTTTTACATTTGCAACGGTTTTTTTGCATACCAAACCTTCATAAACATAAAAACAACACTATATGTACAATATGTACATATACATATATCTACTATATGTACTATATGTAATCTGAAAAGCACTGTAGGTTTGCTTTGGATAAAGGGATGGGATATAAATAAAAAGCTTCACAGGTGGAGACATTTTCTGAAATTTATGAGTGTGAAAGATAAAATTGCAGTTATGATATAGTGAGAGGTGGTTCATCCCCTTTCTCAAGCTTTAATTTCTTAAGTTTAATTTTAATATTGCTGGTTTATGTCATGTGTAGCATCTCCTTTTTACTGTGTTTTCCTGGGCAACATTCAGTCTATAGTTCCTTCTGTTGCTAAAACTAAACAAAAGCTGTTAGGGAGTGCTGCACAGAAATTTGTTTGGGGAGGCTGAAACTTTTTTTTCTGGATGTTCCCTTTGCATTTTGTTCTTTGAAGTTGTAACTCTCTCTTGCACTAATCCAAAGAACTGAAGTGCTTAAAATTAAGTGATGGAAATTTCATATACTGTTTTTTATCTTTTTCGAGGGCCTTATAGATTTGTAAGAAAGGCGTGCTAATTTTGATCAGAATTATGTCAGTTTTCCTACTTGTGCATTTGTAAACATACATGCACTGAATAATATATTATAAATTTTATGTAAAATTTATAAAATGTGTTATTCTAACATCAGTGAAAAATGTCCCGTTTCTTTTCAAGAGGGTAAAATTAATAGGAAGAGAAATGGTGGAAAATTTTGTGCTAGCATTAGAAATGTTTGACTTCTCTGTTAAATGCATTATTATTTTTGCAAGTATACAAGAACTGCAAACTAGCATGTTGTGCAGCAGATGCTTTAGGTGATGCACAGTGGAATATGTAGCAGCTGAAACTAGTGAGATTAATTGACCTTGACTGATATAATTAAAAAACCTATGCTTCTAAATAATATTCGTAAATATTCAAGTCTAATTGAAATCAAATGTATGTAAAAATGCTGGTGTCAAATAGAAGTGATGGGTTCTAGTTTCACTTAGGAAAAAGTATAGTATGGGAACGTGATAGATGAAGAACTGGTTTTCTGCTCGTAGAAACATGGGCTTCTCTGCAGATGCAGTACTTGATTAGGTGTAAAAATATGGTGCCACATGATTGTTGGTTACCTGTAGGGATTAAATGCCATTTTGATAGGCTCCCATTATTTTTAGTACCTCATACATTCATTCATGGTAGAAAGGTAAAGACATTTTTCAAAAATCCTTTTACTTTTTACATCACCATCAGCAAGATGGAACAGACTGATGTTTCCCTGCATGATTTTGTTGTTGCTCTGTAGGTTGGGTTGGTACTGAGAGATGCCTGCATTCAGTTGCCAATATCCAAAGAAGCCCAGAGCTGAGGTGAGGGTAGCTAGTACAGGACTTGGGAACCCCACAGTGACCATTTTGCTTTCTGTGTGCTATTTGGAGAATCAGCTGGGGCTGTTTCCCAGAATAGGCTGAGTGGTGCTGCACTCTGACCTGACTGGTCGCTCCGGGTCTCAGTGTCCCATCTGTAAAATGGGAGCAGAACATAGTTTCCCAATTCAGCCATGTGCAGGGAGGATAAATACATTCTTATGGTCTAAATGGTTCAAAAGCTGCAGCAACGTCCACACTGAGAAGCCAGGCTTTCCTCAGCTCTGAAGAGGCATCCATCCACAGCAGGTTGGAGGCCTCTGCGAGCCTTTTCACCCTCCTGCTCGGTGTTTGCTGTTGCAGTTTGCTGTATGTGCTTTCCTTTCAAATAATTTCTTTCTCTTTTCTAGTTTGAGGGTTGCAAGAAAGCCTTTTCCAGACTAGAAAATCTCAAGATTCACTTAAGGAGCCATACGGGTGAAAAGCCGTACCTTTGTCAGTACCCTGGCTGCCAGAAAGCATTCAGCAACTCCAGCGACCGCGCCAAGCACCAGAGGACACACTTGGACACTGTAAGGAAGCAGAAGTCCCACTGCAGTCCCTGTACATTAGACTGTGTGCTCCTTTCCTCCAGCTTGGTGGCAGCAGGTAGCCCATAACCTTAGAGATAGGAGAAGTGTCTGATGAGGCTGTTCAAGCCATTTCAGAAGTGACCTAGCATGGATGAAGTTGGGCCAAACTAGTTGATAAAAAAGGCCACAGCTCCATGAGCTTTGCTGCAGGCAGATGCAGTAACTTTCTTCCACTTAACATGATCTTTAGGGAACATGAAATCACTACGCAAAGACACAGAAGCCATCTGTGATAGGAACTGCTGTTGTCTGACAAAAAACTCGGTTAAACTTAAGGCTGGGGCATGTACCAGAAAGTCAAGAGAGGAAAAATAATTTCATAAATCTAAAAATTTTATGCCAACAAATTGTTGCTTGTGAATTTGAGTCACAGCTGATACTTGTTTTAAAACTTTTGTTTCATAATGAAAGATCGTGTTTTGTCAGAGACAAGCAATTTCCAAAGGGCAGAAGTCCAGAAAGAAAATGAGAACAATGCCATCTGAATTAAATGGCTGTCACAGAACTTAAATTATCCATTTTAAACAGTCGATAGTATGGCTGGTAAGTTAATTTGTACAAGGTGTCTTCGGAAATGCTTTGTGAAATGTAAATGGCTAAATTGCAAAATAGCTGATTTCAGCAAATATTTGGACCTCATGTTCATTTAGTAGTTTGCATTGTGGACCTACAAGTCTTCAGGGAAGACAGACAGGTTAGAACAGGCAGAAGATATTTGTAGATATTTATATTTATTTGGTGAATTAGATTTATTGGGCTTTCTTTTAAGAAAACTACAAAGGTATTTCAGGACTGGTGTCTTTCTAAAGATATTATTGGAAAATGTGAGCTGCAGGAGCTTGTCTTGTACTTCACATTAAAATATGTATTTTTGTGTGTAGTATTTCTGAAAATTCAGTATTCAATGCTTGCTTTGGTTTTTGCTTGCTCTCTTTGTAATGTAGTAAACTAACACTTTTCTTGTTCTCTTTTTCTGAAGCAGATTCTTCTATAATCCTAAACAGTCTATCTGGGCCTTTACTACAGTTTCTTTACCTGATTCACTAAAGAATGTAATTTCTGATTAAGTCAAAGATTGCTCTGAGGGTGGAAGAAATGTGAGTATAACTAGCAATATTCATTGTACTGATTAAAAAAAAAGGTAGCAATGAAAGGTGCCATAATGAAAGCTTTTCTTTGGTTTGTCTTCCTTATAAGCTTTACTTTCCTCCTTTCACTTTCTAATAAATTACCGAGCATTCTGCTTGTAATAACGTACATTTGTGTTGCATAGTAATGTGGTTTACAGCATCCCAAAGCTCAAAAGTTATTCTCTTCAGTTAAAATAATCTGCGATATAACAGCTGCTTTATCCTTTTTGTTTTTGACTTAGAAACCTTATGCATGTCAGATTCCAGGATGTACTAAACGATACACAGATCCAAGTTCCCTGAGAAAGCATGTGAAAGCCCATTCTTCCAAAGATCAACAAGCCAGGAAAAAGGTAAATTTTCTACCTTGTCACCTGCTGTAAAGCTTATGTAGAGAAAAGTGTTCTAACATTAGATGTTTCAGTGCATCTTCAAGTACCTTTGCTGATTTCAGATCGTTGATTAGAAAAACCCTTAGTGGGAAAGAATAGATATATTTCCTATATAAATGATAATTTCATCTTTGATGTAACAAGGCTGCCTGCTTTAATGCTTTTTGTTTTCTGATGTGATGATTAATCACTAAATACACTTAATGAGGCAAATCAAAAATGATTTCTGAAAACAGAAATTTTTGTTTTTAAAGTTCTGCCACTTGGTAAATACATAGTAATACAAAATCCAGTTTACATGTCCAGTCTCAGTGGAAGGATGGATTTTGAGGACAGCTGGACAGTATGTGAGATTAAGCTCTAAATTATATTTCCATATGCCAGACCCTTCTAAATACCAAGGCATTTCATAACACTGGTTCCCTGTGGATGTCAGGTCCCTGACTCAACAGTTGCTTATATGTATAAGCACATCTTTGAAGAGCTGAGTTACAATCTCAGGGAATTATTTTTTTTTCCTGAGCATTTTTCATCATATCTCCTATTAATCACTACCACTATTTCTTTAGAATGTTTAGATCGAGGATAAAAATCTAAGCTTACATTTTAAAGGAAAATGGTCCTGATAAAAGGGGAACATGCATGGTGTAGGGTGTCAGCCCCATGTAAAACAAGTTATAGTTTAGAAGTTTTAAAAAAATTAAATGCACAGCCATTCATAGAAAGTAGCAAAAAAAATTGCTTCGTACAGCATTGGAAGCACTAAGTGGCCATCTTTAAAGTGGTGTTGTACAAATTCGAAGAGTAGGTTTTGATTCAGTGGTTTGTTGAAGCAGGACCTGGCAGCAGAGGCCTGTTGGTCAGCCTCTGAGGAACAGGCCTGGAGTATTCTTGAGGAATTTCCTTTAAACTTCGTGAGTGCCCACTCTTGTATCAGAGACGAAGTGACAGCATTCGTTTTCACCTTAATAAGCAGTGCTTTGGCTCCCTGGCTCCTGTGCACACTGCCCACAGGCAGAACTGCTGAAGGAGGTCTGTGAGCCCTGTCCTGCCTGTCCCAGGAGGGCAACTTGGCCATCCAGACATTGTCTTTTACCAGCATGTAAAGTAACTGCCTATCAAGACGTTGCATTCTGAGAAATTTGTGTGTGATGCCTCAACTAAAACTGGCATAATGGACCTGAATACAGGTATTAAAGTGCACTGTAATATTACTGTCATCGAAAGTGAAATGATATGTTATCCCCTCTCTCTCATTTTGTCAGATTGCAATAATATGTGGGAGTTTCCTTCCTGCATCTCATTCACTATTTGATTTTTCTCATTTTTCCATTCCTTCTTTCTGCCAAACACTTTAAACCTGGCCATTTTTACTCCTTGCTTGACTCTCTATGGGCACATTCTAGACTTAAAATTGCTTATTTTTTCATCCCTGTTTGATGAAGATTTATTTATGCTCATTGATCACCTGAGATACATTGGTATAGGAAGCCAAACCTCCAAAAAAAAAAAAAAAAAAGAATAATTGTGGCATCTGTCAAGCTAAGTACTTAAAGCATGGATAAATTTTGCAATGTATAATGTTTACAAGGTACAGCATAGTTACTGGACCTTTGAGAACTCACAATTGCTAACTAACATCATGCTTTGGTATTTGAAGTATTTCCTGGCAGCAATAATAATAAAAAGTGAGAAACAATAAACCTTTTAATGCAGAATTAAGGTTATTTATGGCTTTAATTAAAAGTGAAAATTGGCTTAATGTCAAAAAAGTCTTTACAAAAATGTGAATTCATCAAAAATAACCATAAAAATTCCAAGGTGATAAAGGCACAGTGGAGTAATACTTCCATCCCTAGGGATCTGTTCTGTTGAAAAGAATGAAACCCTTTTCTGTCACACCCCGTTAGTCATGGATTCATTTAATATGTCGTGCCTGACTGCTTTTAATCCTCCTTTTAACCTCCCCCTACACACCAAGTGACATTATTGTGGTGTCTTAAGTTGCTGGCTCTCCAAGGCTGTACCTGCAAATGTGTCTTTGATGTTGCATAGACTTAAAAAAAATAAAAAATAGCAGGATAAAGTATATTCATAACAATGGAATCAGCTACTTGCTGTGCTAAACAGTACATTGAGTCTTCAGCCCAGATCTTCTAGATCTGTCTTCAAAGCTTTGACCCTTTGCTTGGCCCTCTAAGATGGGTCCAGATGATGCAATGTGATATAGATAAATTCCCATCTCTGAGGTATTTTAAGCAACTTTTGTTGATATATGTTTATGGCTTGCCATGTAAGGCAAAAATGCCTTTTCTGCAAATCTTGTAAGGCAGCCACTGTTCCCCTTCTCCTCCCAACCCCCAGCCTCCAGCCATCCACCAAATACATTTAACTGGGAATCTCTCCAGGTAATGGGATTAAATCCTATAGACCCAAGAAGATTCCAGCAGAAATACATTTAACGCAAGAAATTCCGTGGGTAGTACAATAAACTTTCATTTTCTTCTCAAAGGAAAGCAGAAGAGTAAAGAGAGTTATGCCTGGTTTAATTATCTTTGTCTAATTTGTAAAATTCTTCATAAACATGAAGGCAAACGTGTAGACAAATATCATGCAAACACCTGGGAACAGATGCTGAAAATGGCTAGCAAAACATTTTAGTTGTAATCTCTATGCATCATAATATTCAGTCTGTACTTTTAAAATATTTTGGTGGGATAAAAAACAGTGCTTCCTATCTTATTCTAAAAAGTAAAAATTGCTGACTGTGCCTGGATTTCGTTTTCCCTGCGGAAGATGGACAGAGCTTCTTCTAAGTAGGGAAGTCAGTGATAGAAAACTAGACAGCGCCCAAAATAAGAGCGTAAAGTGATGCTGAGAGGAATGCTAATGCACAACATGCCTCTGGACTACAATTACTTTTAAAACCTGTCCTCTTCTTAGTCATCTCCTCCTTCATCTTTGAAAGGACAACAAACTTGAAAGATTTTGTTGTAAGTTGAACAGTTACCATGTGGTGCTTATTATTACCACAACATATAATGGAAGCTAAGAGCCATGAGGGATTCAAAGGGAACTGGATATTTCTGTGGGTAATGCGGCAGGGTTAAAAAATAAACATGAGATTTGCAAGGGATATTGGTGCTTCAAGATTATGCTTCAGGATAGAAGTCAGCATCAAGCTAAATAGATTAGGGAAAACCATGGTTATTCTCTACTGCTTATTTGCAGTTTCTCACTCTTTCTCCTGAATTGCCAGCCGCTAGTGGACACAGTGTACATAACTTAAGGCAGTCTGGATGGATATTGGGCCTGATCTGGAAGAAGCATCTGCTTCTAAACTGATACTTCAGAATAACATTCAGGCTGCCTAGGCTTAATTTATGCATTCTCCAGCTTTCTTCCTTCTCTCATTCCATTTTTATAATCCTTTTCTCTTTCAGTTTCCTTTCTTATTCTCTCTTCCACCTTTGTAGCTTTGGGTCTTTAGAATATGCAACCCAAACTGAACATCTGTAGGTGGCTGAGGTGCGTATGCCATGGTAAGACCAGTCCCAGGACTTGCTTCCACCCCAGATACTCCTGTGTTCTCTCATCTTTCATCCTGTTTCTTTCCTTCTTTTTTTCCATATGCAGAGTTCAACTAAATTGTCAATTTAGAAAGGATATTGGTACATACAGGCAAATGCCACTTAAACCTTTGACATGCTGTTTAGTTGTTTATCTTTGTCTAGCTTGGACCTCGTATTGATTTAGGATCTCATGAACCATTTACCTTTTCTCTTCACCTCACATCAATAATTACCTAACAACTGTTCAGCTTTTTCAATCTTACATGCATTTTCAAGGCAGACCAGGACCAGAAAGAGAAATGAGTGCGGTTTTTTTTCCTTTTGGGAAACTCTAAAAAGGATAGAAATCAAGTTTTTAGCTGAGTCATTTCTTGAACTAGCAGCTTTTATATGAAGAGGGGCTATAGCAGCCTAAACTGATTGTTTCCCAGAATCAATGGTAAACATGGAGGAATATTGAAAGGAAAGGACAAGGGGGAAAAATTAATGAGTTGAAACTGCTATTTCATTTCTTCTTTCCAATACCTATTACAAACAATATGAAAAACAGAAGGATGAGTGAGGCAGGTATTTGCTTCAGCTAATCTTCATATTTATTGTTCTTACAAAACACTAACACTCAGTCTGACTTCATAAAATCTGAGAACCATTCATGTATTGATATTTTTTGTTCTGAATATAGACTGGCTCTGAAAAATGCCAGCCTGTAATATTAGGTGCAGCTGTTAATGGTTGAAATATTGTCTACATGAAGTTAGGGTGAATCTTTATGCCTATTAGATCCTATAGTTCTTATTTGTAGAATAGCTTTAATAAAGAAGGCTACAGTTGAGAGCTTTGCTTTGGTAGCTTCAACAGAGCTGAGTAATTTTGTTTCTTGAGTCATCCTGTGGAGTCTCTGGCTAGACAAAAAATAGGGCACTGCTTGACACTAGTAAGCATATTTTCAGTTGGTTACACTTTGTGTTTTCAGTAAGCAACAAATTTCTTTCATATATGAACTGATGATACTGTATTTAAAAATATGAATCCATAGCTTTTTTAGTTTGCAAGTCTTTTTATTGAAGTTAGTGAAAATGAAATTATGCAACGTACCATTAACAAAGTCCAGAGCCTGCCCTACTACATATCCAGTGATTTAAAATGAATATAGAAGGCAAGTACTACCATTATGCTCTTCATGAGATCTATTTGCTGTGGGAGCTAGCACTCAACCTCATAAAAGTATAAGAACGTTATCTTTTTCATACAAGTACACCATGAAAAACAATTTGCTATTTCTGCAGGAGTCTTGCTGGAGAAATCTGTATTTGTAAATCTAAAGAAACTACTTAATTTACTTTTAAGTATTACGGTGCAAGTCCCACTGTGAATGGAATGGACCCTCCA